TCCAGGCTGTCAAACCAGTCTATGACCGCTTGTGTGTTTCTCCACTGTCTAAACTTTGTATAGGACCTAATTTTCTGGTTGACTCTTTCTAAAATCTGTTTACTTACGCGACCAAGATTGCTTTTCGCCGGGTTGATGAGCCTGCATGGTATCGAGTTTGGAAAACTGTCTTTGTGGTCCTTTACCGTGATGAATGCTTGTTGCTTTCCCATCGACTCTACTCTATCGCTGATGCCGATTTTCTCGCAAATACTCGATAGCTCTTGGGCGATTTCCTTTACAGGTGAATCTTCGGTCTTCTTGTAGCATTTCGTGATGTTCTCTCGCAATAGCTTTTCGTATTGATCTTTTTCCATTTCATACAAATTTCTTGTTTTGTCCGCAAAGGCTACGACTTTCTCCGACGATTTAATCTTGTTGACGTCTTGCCGTAGTGTAGATTGAAAACTGCTGGACACTTTACGATACTGAATGGATTCAACCATGCGTAAGAGGTCATTCTCAAATGGCTTTAGTAGGATAACTTGCGGAGGGTTCTTTCGCGAGGGTATGTTATAAGTGTTTTTACGGTTATGGTTCTCGGATGGGTTGAGGTGGAAGAAGGCTTTCCAACGCATTCTCCGGATGACGCTTTCTACTTTGGGTAATATAGCTTCGCAATATAACTGCTTTTACTTGGCAATGGAATGTTTTTCGTAGAGTAATTGAGAGTTATTTTCTCCATCATGCTTCAAAGTCTAAGGTGTGATATAGTGGCGGCTAGAGTGCTCAACTTTCCCGAAGGAGCTTTGTATGTCTTGTTTGTCGATGCTGACACGTATCTGAAGAGTGCTCAATGCAGGTAAGATTTTGCAGAGCAAAACTATTATTAGTGTAGACTAAGACATGATATCTGAAGATAATTTAATAAAACCTAAACCTATTTACGATAAAAGTTACTCGAGTTTCACGCACAAGGCGATCATCAGACTAAAGTGCTTTTACGGTGGATTGTAGTTATAAGCGTAAAATTTCCTTTCGTGACAACACTTAGCTATTAATTCTGATCTTTTGTTCAGTAGTGATTGTTTATCTGCATTTAAAATGCAGATTTTCTCGGATAGGCACAAGTTGCATATCTTTCCTCCACTCCTATAAGCATTTGCACGCTTAAGGATTTTCCACTCGATTGCGTAAGCTGTATCGGATTCCTTTAATTCCCAGATGAACTTCGAGAGCGTTGTACTTCCAGCGTGCTCAACATTGTTGAAGGATGATTTGTGGTTTCGGTACCGCGTTTTGAATTCGTTTTCTGTCATTCCTATGTATATTTTAGATGGCTGGTTCGATGGGGTCACTGTAGCTTGGTATATACAATGCTCTTTGTCTTGCATGCATTGTTTAATGGGCAGTTATTCTCGTCTTGGCAATTACACTGACTGTTAACGTCATTTGTCGGGCTGGGTTTAAGAATTTTAGCATTATGTTGCTTGATTATAGATTCTATGTTATCCATGCAGCTATAGCTTACTTTACAGCTATTTCTATTAAAGACTGGCCATAGCTGGTGGCCTATTGGGAAATGCTTGTCTATTAATTGCAGGAAATGCATGCCGACGTTCGTTCGGACATTCATGCTGTACGGCGGGTTGAACCATAATATATTCCTTCTGCGGTTCCTGCGAGGGGGTGATGGTTGGGAATATTCTAGTTTGATGGTAAACCCACTAC